AAAGAAGAGAAATGTGGGTGTGTGTGTGTGGGGTGTGTGGGGTGTGTTTTTTGGGGCTTGGAAGGGTTTCAACTTAACCTGGCTTCTGCCCCCGGCCCCCAGGCAAAGAACCCTTGGCTGTTACGGGAAAACCTCCCTGTAGCTGGCTGGGTCACCTCCTGGGACCGCCCTCGCGGGCACAGGCAGACAGGCGCAGGCAGCCCGCCACACTCACTTGAGCATCCGCGGTTCTCCGCGTGCCACACCTGGATCCGGTCCTCCCACTGGTCCCTGGTGAGCTTGTGCTGGTCCATGACTCTGACGGCAGAGGAAGAAGGCACAACACCGTCACCCCAGAGGGCAGGGCTGAGAGGTGAGTGACAGGCTCTGTCCCCTCACGCAAACCTTCACTTTTCTTTAAATAAAATCACCACAAAGTGCGTTTGTTTCTACTTCCTAATGTGCAATTCTACTTAGGACGAACTAAAAGCTGATGATTTAGACTCGAAAGAGACAAACTCAGTCCTGCTGGGAAAAAATGTAAAGGACGTTTTATTTTAAGAAGCCTTTCTGCCCAAAGGGGTCATTTATTTGATCATTAGTGACTAACAACAGATTTATGGGGGGCCGAACTATTATACACCAGGAGTGGTGAAGCAGTCAGGCCATGAAAAACGTGATTACTCTGTAACACCCTCAAATAACACGCCGCCTACAGCCCATGAGGACGTCCCCTCCCTGCTGCTGCTCAGCCCCCACTGTCCAGGCGGACCACCGGGCCTCAGGGCGCCGCCGTGCGAGGCCAGTGCCTGGGACAGCCGGGCATGCGACCGTCACATGCCAGCCGAGGAGCGCTGCCCTCGACGTCCGTGTTCTCTGCTGCTTCACCTGCCCGCCCGCCCCAGGCCCGGCCGCTCACCTCTGGGGGATCAGCCGCTCGGAGCTGAGGTACCCGGACTTGTGCATTTCTTTGTTGTAGTCTCCAAACTTGGCCTGCACGGCGTAGGAGCCGAGGAGCACCGCGGTCTCGGGGGGGCAGTAGATCTCGTCGCTCAGGATGCCCTCCTTCACTTGGAGGAAGAAGAGCTTCTGGGTGATGTCCTGGATGAGCTCCTCAGGCACGTCCTCCGGGTAGAACTTCGCCCTGAACTTGAACTGCAGGGGATTCTCCTTCCTGACCTCCTGGGCCGACACCTGGACAACAGAGGCCGAACGCTCACTGCGGGCTCAGGAGAAAGCCCTGCCCCCCAAGCACAGGCTGCCACCCACGGCTCAGAGGGCCCTGCAGGCCAGTGTCAAAGACTGTTGACGCTGAAGTCACCTTCTACATGTAAGACCCAAAGGCCAGTTTAAGAAGTCCCACTACACACCCTCCCTTCGCGGAAGCCTGGCGCCAGCCTGGCCGGATCTTCTGGGGACGGGGCGAGGGAGAACTCGAACTCGAAACACCTGCTCCATGAGCCTGGAACCTGGAGTCCGGCCACGTGGCCAGTCCAGCGTGGACCACGGAGCTCCCACCCCTCCTCCTTCACAGCCCCAACCGCCCCTGCTGCCATATAATTTGGGAGGAGAGCAGGGTTTGGAAAAGGGACATTTTCCAAATTGTTTGCAGAAAACACATTTTGCTTCTTGCTGTTCTCTGTAATTGTTACTGGAATTATCCCGTCTTTAGAGTTGGGAGATAATCTATCACAGGTTCTGACAAAGCAGTAACAGGTTCTTGCAAAACAGTGGGTGATTCATGGTTTAGAAGATTAATAATCGCACTGTAAAAACAACACTAAGGTCAGCTAAATACTAAGAATTAACCTCATACGCTCGGTGAGTGAGCAGCGAGGGGAAATGCCCGGGTCCGATTGCCAACCTGTATCCCCATTTACAGGAAACCTGCGACCTTTTTGTCTGGAAAAACTTTTACACAAATAAAAAGGAACAAAAACCAAAGTCCGCGTAAGGTGCTCCAGTTCGATGCCAACGAGGAGGACCAACACCCAGTAACAGTGCAAACAGTTAACTGTGACCTACCTTTTTATCAAGTTTCAACCAGGTAGGAAATCCTTTATTATCTACGTACTGGAGGCCGAAGTACCACACTTCCCGCAGGCCGATGGTCTTCACCACCTGCGAGGGAGAGAGGGCGGGAGGGCGACAGCCATGAGACACGGAATGGGCAGCGCTACCAACAGCGCCGTCACGGGGGCCGCGGTCACGGTGCCGGCTGCCTGGTCACACCGAGCCAGCTAAGAGGCTATTCCATCACCCCAAAGCCATAACGATTTATTTTTAATATCGATTTGAGCAGATTCTGGTTTACAAATCTCACTCCTGCTCCTCAACTCCATCCTGCGTTCCCGAGTCACTGCGAGCCGAGTGGCGGCGTGTGCCACGGGAGTGCCTGTCACTGCCAGGGGTGCCCCTGGGGAAGGAGCTGAGCGCGGCCGACGTGAAGCAGAGGCGCACTGGGTTCTCCTCGGGCTGCCCTGCCTCTCAGCCAGTTGGCCAGAGACCCTGCGTCCAGGAACAGGGAGCCAGCAGCCCGGGGAAGACGGAGGCCGATGGTGGCACTTCCAGGGAGGGGCGGGGAGTCTCGGCTTCACACAGGCCCAGGAAGTTCATATTCTGCCACAGAGACGGAGACTTCACCCCTGGTCACAGCGAGGGTTTCACACTGGGCAATCTCCGTGTCACTAGGAAAAACCTCTCCTGTGGCCATGCCCAGCGGGTGGTCTGTGTCTCGGAATCAGACATGCAGCTGCGGACACTTGTTGAACACGACCAAGGCCAGTCCGGAGCTTTGCTGTGCAGTCCTGAAGCCCATGGCGTACAATGTTAGGCTCAAAGAGAAGGGTCCTTAGCTGTCCTTCAAATGCATCTTCTCCCACATTTAGAGGGAAAAACTGAGCACACTAGCGATGGGGAAACCAGGGATCTGGAGCGCTCGCTTAAAGGAAGTTGGAAATGCCCTTGGACTCCTTCCCGAGCCTGCTTCCCACCCTGGGGGACAGATGCCTGCGTTCCCCTGGTAGGGAGAGAGGAAAGAGTCCGCCCTCACACAGCGCTTGCCTCCCACGTCTTTTATGAAACCCGATGTCTTGTTTTCATGGGAGCCAAGTGTAGAGAAAGTCAATTCAGAGACGAGTCTCTATGCCCAAAGCCGCTGACTTATTCCTGCAAATCTCCACCTCATTTGCGTGTCAGACCTGCCCTGCCTTCCTGTCTGGGTTGCTTCAAAGCTGCACAAGAAAGCCCACATTCCAGCCATTGTCCTCTCTCTGTCCTGTCTCCCTTCACCCCCCACCAGCCCTGGCCCGGCCCTCCCCACTGGTGGCCCTCCCCCGTCAGCCCCTGCGGGTGCTCAGGGCCACAGCTCAGAGTCCTCTCCACCTGGCAGGCGTGCCAGCCCCTTCCCGCAGCATCAGACTCTGGAACCTCCCGTGGACAGAGCCTGGACTTCACTCTCTTGGTGAAAAAGCCTGGTGCCTACTCTGCCACAGGCTCCGTGACGTGAACCTCCCACAGATTTCCGGGGAACCCGCTCCTCCGTGTTTCCCAGCCCTGCTTCTATCCCGATGGCGCTCCCCAAATGACAAAATAGACTCGGAGGACCTTCCCTCCTGCGGTCCATCCTAACAGCCGCTCTGCGGGGGCACCCAACACCCCTAGAGAAACACCTCACTACCCCTCAGTGTCCTCAGCCCAACCCGAAGCTGACCCCACGGGGAGGGAAGAGGAGCAGGCCTAGCCCTTTACCTCGGCCTGGGCGGTGTTGTTAAGTGGCAGGGGTTTGGGAAGTAAAGGCAGGGATTGTCTATTTCACTCCATCTTAAGCAGCAGCTGAAAAACACTCCTGATGGAGACACTGGGCACACACAGTCACACGGCAAAACTGTCCTCACCCCTCTGGACGCCAGCAGTGGGCAAGTGCCCTCGGCTTGTCGGGGGACCTGCCTCCTGCGTGGCTGTTGACCTGTGACACGCTCATCCAACCAGAGCCCGGGACTAGGACCCAGTCACAGCCCAGTTACTGCAGAGACTTCCCGGGGTAGAGAGGAGGGGTCAGTCTAACCCACCACCCCGTCCGCTTTCCTAACACAGAGCCTCCCAGCTCTGCTTTAAAATAAATTGCTTGAGGTCGGCCTGGCACTCATTAAAGACAAGGACTGTCCGTGACTGAGGGACATGGTGCTGCAGGCACAGCTAACACAGCACCTGGGCCTCCTCCCCCGCCTGCACCCCCTGGAGCTCAGCTGGCTCCATGGAACGACTTCAAGATTACCTTTCAGGCGAAACCTTTACAATCTGAACCAAGTCCAGCCCCACCCAGAGCAGTAAATGTCTTGATCCTTGCTGGGCGAGGCAGCACCGGGAGAGCTGAGGTGTGTCCCCACCCCTGCAGGCACTGGCAGGACTGTCACCCCGAAACCCCTGGTGCTGCTGCGGGGGGGGGGGGGGGGGGCAGCGCAGGGAATGGGCGATGAGAGGACGTCCCCCCAGCAGCGGGGAGTCACTGCAGATTCTAGATTTGCTAAAATCTTACCCCCCAGGTCTCCCCATCAGCACCCACTCCACTTCCCGGGTTAGTGCTGGGATGGGAACATCGCTTTCCTCCCACTGGGGCCTCAGAAAGGCGAGCACAGCTCAAGGGCCTGCATACACCCCGTCCTGTTGCCCACTGGACCTCAGCCCCGGAGCACTCACTCAGCCCAGAAAGAAGACCTTGCTCGCTGAGGAACTGTCCCGGGGAAGAGCTATCGCAGAGGGCTCGGTGCTCCTGTTAAAACCCACTTTCACCTTCAGGCTGCGAGAGGGAACGCGATGGGCTCCGTGGGGCCCAGCTCAGATGAGCGTCTGAGCGAGCTCAGTCAGAAGGAGCTGGGGAGGGTCACCCTGGAACCGTGGTCTGCCTGGCCCCTCTCGGGCCCGTGGGCGGTGTCTGATCTCCACTGCACCCAGCCCCACGCTGATGGCCAGCAGCAGCCAGGTGACCATGAGAGCCGGGGGCAGAGGGCAGCCAGAGCTGTGGGTGCGGCAGAGCCGGGGGAGTGGAGGCGGCGTGCTGGTACCCTTGGGCTGCCGAGGAAGCCTTCCATGTCCCCGAAAGCGCCCCTGGGAGCTGTGAGCAGGGCCACCCCCAGAGTTCTCTGTGTGAGCCCCCGCGGGAGGGGAAATGGGCTGCTCTACAGAGAGAAGCAGGCAGCACACCAAGGAATATGCTTCGCAAACAAAATGATTCAGATGTTGCAAAAGTTTCTTTTCTAAATGGGAATTCTCTCTCTCAAGTTCACAGAGACCAACCTGATCAAAAAGCTGCTTTCCTGTGGTGTTCGGCTGGATGGCGAACTCCAGCTCCGCATCCATGGTGGTGACTCGGACATTGATCTAGAAAACACAAGGGACAGATCACACTTAGCGAGCATTCTTTTCTCTCTTTTAAAAATATATCTTTATTGATTCCAGAAAGGAAGGGAGAGGGAGAGAGAGAGAGAGAAACATCAATGAAGAGAGAGAATCATTGATTGGCTGCCTCTGGCACAACCCTTACAGGGGATCAAGCTGGCAACCCAGGCATGTGACCTTGACCGGAATCAAACGGGGGACCCTTTCAGTCCACAGGCGGATGCTCTATCCACTGAGCCAACCCAGTGACAACAGCGTTCTTTTCTCTTAATCCTCTCCTGAGCCTTCCACTCGGAGCTACTCAGCCACACGCAGGTTGTTCCTCTCCAACAGCCATTATCAGTCTCGTCAACACACACACGCGTGCACACGCACACACATGCACACACACACGCACACACACACACACGCATGCACATGTACACGCACACATTCCCCGGGAGGTAGCTGATGAGTCTCAGCGTGCACAGTCTGGACCCGAAGGCAGGCCTGCCTTCTTCAGCACATTCACACTCAGGTCTATGCCCTTTTTCTACAAAAGTCCTCTGACTACGGTTAGTGGATTTCCCACGCACCACCTCCTTCTGACCCCACAACAGCGTGAGGCTCCGAGAATTCAGACCAGGGCAGGAAGGGAGAGGATCCACTGGGTGGGCAAAAGTAGGTTTATTGCTGTTTATATGGAAAATACAATACAGTAGGTCCTCGGGTTACGTCGGAGATCCGTTCCTACGGCGACGTAATGCAATTTTCGCCGTAAGTCCGAACCCACTACATAAGCACCTACGTCACTCACATGGAGCACAGACACAGCAGTAATGAAGGGAAACAGTAAAAAAAAACGTAAAAGAAAGATAACAATTCCTAACCTCTACTTGTGGCAAATAAATAATAAACATAAAGCACATATGTACATACGTAGAAATGACAACTTTTTAAAAATAAATATATGGGAGATGGCAACGTAACCACGAAACAACATACATCGAGTCCCTGGGGACTGCCTGTAATTAACAAGTAATAATACAAGAATAAGCTGTAAATGACCAGTGGCCAGGCCGCTTGACCTCAAGGGGGGTGTGTGTGTCACCTGACTAGTCGTTACTCTGCGGTGTTTCCCACAAGGTGATCTTGGCCTTCAGGCAGCACAGCATTGGTTTGCAAGACGACCTCCAGTCCTGCAGAATGGCCAGCGCCTAACCACACACAGTGCCCGGTCAGCAGGACACCCACCAGGACCCCACACACACCTCCAAGTGCTCTCGGGGACAAAGGACCACAGAGGTACTGCCTTAGTCAGGGGCATGTTCAACAGTCCATGTTTATGAAGACTATGGAAATTATTTCCCAGTGTACAGATCCTTAATGATGTGCTGAAAGCAGCATAAACTTCTACCGAAATTTAAAATAAAACATTTACTCAGAAAACAGGACCATTTCTATACATATTTTGGTCCAGTTATCCAGGGGCTTTGAAAGAAATTAGGCTTTGGAAATTAAGGAAACTTCTAAAGCCCAGCTCCTTTTCACAGTCTTTGTGAGAGGTTTCCGTGCCTAGCAACTGGTTTTGGTGAACTCGACAGGTGGGGAAAGCTGGCGCTCACATTAGCAGCACCGCCCCAGCCATCAGGTGGGATCGTGGGGTTACGCATCAACGGGAGGTGGCCCACGACAGGTCAGAGGTTCAGGAACTTGAAGTCCAAACACCCAAACCTCGTGCAAAGACGGGACAAGAGCACATGCTTTGCAATTTGTATCGTCCTGGTGTGTCTCCTAGATCACACTTTCCTCAGAGGCCACGCTCGCTGCAGGAGGCACCGCCAGCAGGCGTGGTGAGGGTGCAGGCGTGTGCAGGAGCAGCCGTCACTGAAAAGCTACCCGAGAAGGCTGGCCAACATACTAAACACCTCTCGACATTCAGTTTTGTTCGGAGGGGGTGGTGACAATTAAAGTTTAATTTTGCTCATGTGCCCCCGGCCCCATATACACATGCAGAGCCATGTGGCTGATGGTGTCGATAATTTAATAATTCATGTCTCCTTCCAAATGCTCCTCCATTGACGCTCAGACACAGAGTCATACTGTGAGGTCTAAAGTGTCAGAACACGTAAGGAACCAGACCTCATCCTACTCCGCTATTCATAATGGGAATTGATAAATAACGTTAGATATGGGAGTTAAGTTAGCCCTCAATTGATTAAAAAAAATTAGGTCTTTCTACAACTATGTACTATGTCAGAATTTTCTAACAAAATGACTTATCTTAGACACAAGTCAGGAAAAGCTGGTGCTGCACATGCCCGAACCCCTCAAGGAAAATGAGGTTCCAATGGGTATATTTTTCACACTGACCACATTCAGCAGAAAACTCTTGTTGCCCCACACAGCAGCTAGCTTAATGGGTGAGCTGTATTTTTTATTTTTACTTCAGTAGGAGAGTTAAGTTTCTGAGCTCTTACTAGAATATCAGTATATGCAAGAGACAAAGGCCTAAATACAGACCAAAACAAGAACAAAACTGGCCAGTAAGACTTCTTAAATTTAAGCAAAATGCTATGCATGTTTTGTTGTTCTTGTTGTGTGTGTGTGTTTCATGAACAATGACTAGAATTTCACAGGTATTTTGCTCCAGGTCACTTGACTATATAATGCATATTACTGAATATCAGGATTCAACACATAAAATTTCTTTGCCTTAGTTAATGAAGATAATGAAAACTTCATTGTCAGACTCTCTATCCTCCCTCTGCTTAATAATCTACTCTTTAAAAAATTATATTTGCTGTTATTAGGGGTCAGCTCAGCTACTACACTACACACCTATGAACCATGACAGCATCATTCTGCTGCTCCCAGCCCACCCCAGCCAGGACACCTTGCACCCTGTGAGGCTCATGTGCTCTACAAACCCCAACCAAATGCCTGCTGGGGATGCTGACACCATGGGGGTCACTGGGGACAGAGGAGTGAGACCTCCCTTGCCCTGGAGCCACTTGACTTAACCCACAGAGATGGCCTCAAGTGGCTGTCATACACCGCATGGGACTGGCCGTTAGACTCCCCAGAGCAGCTTTACAAACACTTGAGTTTCTGGGCCTCAGCCCAAGAACCTGTATATTTTTTTAAAGCCACTTAAGCGGCTTGAGGACTGCCCAAGTCACTGATCAGCAGGCAGGAGCAGAGCAGCTGGGAGGCCTGGGTTCGAGACCTGGCGCTGTAACCCACTGAGGACTCAGCCCCTATGTGCAAAAGGTCTGGACTACGTGTCCTGAGGTCCTTTCCAGCTCGGAAATGTGAGGTCTGGAGTCCCGAGGGCAGGGTTAGGGTTAGAGCAAGAACTGAGAGTCCTGGGCCGACTCCTAGCAGGAGGCAGGGGATGCGGGGGAGGATCCCTGAAAAATAACTCAGAGGGAACACTATCAGCAGGTGGCCAGGAGATTGCTTCCGGGACAAAAGAAAGGCTCAGCCTGTGCTCACACCTCCTGCAGGGTTGTAACCCTCCTGGCAGGAGAAAGGGGCTACAGGCTTTATTGCTGCAATGCAACTGACATCTCTTTCTAACAAAAAGGAGAGTTAAAAGTATTTAAGCACCAATCTTCTTTTTTTAAACGCCCAGTAACAATAAACAAAATAAACCCACTGTCCTCTCTGCTCACTCCCTCCAACTGAGCAATCATGAGACAGACAGACCTGGGCCTCCCAGCCAACCCCTGCCGGGCAGGCCGCAGTGTAGAATCAAGTTCATAACCGGGGACCAAGAGTATCTGTAAGGGATCTTCGCCTTTAACATCCTGTAACTCAAACAGTATCTGAGTGCCTTCTGAGCCACGTCAGCAGCTGAGTTCTCTGCAAAATTTCTGAAGGTAAAGGGAGGGACAGAGAGGTGATGCTCTGGGGGAGGGGACGCAGCGGCATTTCGAGGCCACAGAAGTTAAGGCTGCGTTTCTTTTTTCTTTCTTTAACTGAAAGGCTTTTGAGTGTCTTTGCTGTTAATGCAAATTGTGAAATCCCAGGGCGGGCCCCAGTCTGCTTCCCAGGTTTCTTTTCCGTGGACTATCCCCAAGCACCAGTCCTTCCAGAACACACTCTGAAAAACATGAGTCTTCCCAGGTTCACTTGTTAAACCTCCCAGGCGCCTGTAGAACACACTGAGGGGCCTTGAAGTACCTTCTACTTCTAACCCAGGCAGGAGGCTGAACTGTTGGCTGTCAAATGACCGCCCTTGATCATTCTCCTCATTTTGGTAGATAAATATTTGGCAATATTGCCTTTGGGAAGCGCCCACTTCCTCCTGACACGCTTTCTCTTGGTTTGAGATGACCTCTCCAGGCAGACCTTTCACAGAACTAAAGACCAAGACAGGAGGGGAAGGCTCCGGCGAATTCTGCCCCAAACCTCCCAGACCAGCGGCCGCTCCCGTCTCCTACGGCGCCCGGCGGCGTGCCAGCGGTGGGTTGCTCTGTGCGCTCATTCAAAACCAGGACCATGAAAATAAGGGAAATGCACGTGGTCCCCTCTGAATGTTTGGCTTTCAGGCCGTGGCCTGAGTGATAAGATTAATCCCTGTATTATCACACCTGCATTTACTCAAAAGTGAGGAGTGGAGCTGCCCAGCACCAGGGCGATTGCACTGGGAGCCTGACCTTCACAATCACTCAAAATGTCAGCGCTGTTTCCCCACATTCCAGCCTCTTCCGAAGGCGCCACCTCAGCAACTTCGAACAGCTTTCAAATATTTGGCGAAGGCCTTTCAGATACGTAGAAAGGCTGATAGGACGCAGGTCCGGGCCGCCTCTCCCCAGCTGGGGAAGGTGCAGGGAGCCCAGCAAGGAGCCGTTCTCCCCAAGGACAGCCACCGAGTGAGAAAGCATCGAGGATGCCTGTTTGGGTCACTTAATTGAAAAATTACACGGACAATATTGTGTTTTCATCTTCATGTTGAGTACTTTTAAAATTACAGCCTTCTTGAAGTATAACTTACA